GCCTGGCCAGACAAATACTACAGAGGATGTGAGCTTTGGGGAGCAGCTCTGAGATGTGGAAGGTTAATGACTCAAACAATGCACCATGCTCAAAGCATCAGGTGCCAGGTTTGCAGCCCACAGCCAAAGGGAAGAAGGGAAGGGTTTGGTAGCTAAACTTCTGATTTGCATCTGAGCAGCCCAGGTTCAGAAGGGGTGAGCACTCACCACTGCACGGTGACCACGCCAAACCAATTTTGTTTGGCAACAAGCTGGGTTTGGAGCCAGATAATGGAAAAGGCTGTTTAGAAGCAGATGCTATGAGGTGGGATAATGCTTTTTTTATCAGGGCAGTGTCCTCCCTTGCACAACCAGCTCAGGTGTAGAACTCTGCCTCCCCAGGGAAGGAATCAGGACATTCACACATGGGCCTGAGGGGTTTCATCCCTGCTGAGGGGCCTTGAGAAGCAGCTCTCATGTTTTTAAAAGGGTAATAAATCATCAAAGACCCCCAAGCTCCCTGCAGAATTATTCCTGGGGCCTTGCACTGGGGGACTGCACAAGATCCACAGTGTTGTAACACTCAGTGTAAAACTTCCATCAGGGGAGGTACCTGGGCATTCCCACCTGAACCTGAGCCTTTATTAGCACACTGAACTCTGGGATTTGTGGGCTTTCCCCACCCCCAACAGATCAAGACTGACACCATTACTTTGAACAACAGGCATCTAAATTGCAACAATCCAGTCTTGTCACTGGATCCCTGGGTGCTGAGGTCTTCCTGCTATCTCCTTTTATCCCTTCTTTCTCTCTCTTTCTTTTCCTTATACATTTTCTTAAGTGATAACTTTCTACTTTTATATTGCTATATTTTTATTAATGATAACCAAAACAGCTTCATATCCCCTTTCCATTGCAACCAAATTGTTTTAAAATAAACCACTCATACACATATGCACATAAAAACACGGGTCATTTAGTGTCATTTCACTCTGATTTGCCCCAAGGGTCCTGTTAACAAGAACCTCAGCTCATTTTCTGCTCCCTCTCTCCCTCCCTGGGAGTGTCTGAGACCACTGGGCTCCTGGGGCTGGGGATGTGAGGTGGGCTTTGCCTCCCCTACTTGGGGAAGGACTCTGGGGACAGAGGCAGCACAGCTCCCTGAAAAGTGAGCAAAGCTGGCTGACACCTCCAGGCAGACCCCTCAGTGGGAGGCTCTGGGGGTTTGGGTGACTCTTCTGGGCTTGCAGAATGGACTCACAAAATCCCATCCAGCTTTTCCCCATCTCAGCCCACCCCTCCTGCTCTCCTGCCTCATGATTCTCTTTCTGTGGGTCCAGCATGGAGCTGTGCCTTGCTAGACAATCTGGTTTAGACCATTAGAGGAGTTTGGGGTGGTGGGGGATGCTTTCCGAGGGGAATGCAAGTCTCAAGAGAGCTGCTCAGTGCATACAATCCCCGGGGTGCTTTCCAGAATCCTATTCCCTGTCAGCACTGGTCTAAAAAACGAAAGGACGACACTACAAGGAGGCAGAAATTGCATTATACTCCTCTGTGCTTCACAAGCTCCAAGTAACACTTCTGCTTCTCCCGTCTGAAAAGGAAAATGGGTAATGACAACCTACTTCTACTGAAGAGACAATTTTCACTCCTCCTTGGCAAGTGTAGCTGGGACAGTGTCTTTCTCTCCACTCAGAGGCAAATTAACAGATTTTGCCTCAGAACACGGTGGATGAAGTGCAGCTGGCAGCGTTCCCCTGCCGTGGCTCACAGCACCCTTGGGGTGCCCACACCTGGCCCAGCTCACAGTGGGTGAGCACACGGGGGCTGTTATGGACAACTTGTGAAGTGCAGACCCGATTGCAGGAAAAAAAACCCTCTTTTCTCCCCAAACACAGGTCTGCACGAGCCTCCGTGCACCACAGCACAGCAGCCAGCCCCAGCCAGCGCCTGCAGCTTTGCACCAGCATCAGGAACTTTACTCTCTCGGAGCGATGACTCTGAGAAGAACAAGTTAGACAAATGAATTCGCTAATGACTTCCTTCCCTCCTACTTAAACGGGGGGGATAATTCATGGTTCCTGCTCCCGCAGCAGCGGGGCTGCTCCATCGCCTGCCCGTGGCAGGCTGAGAGGATGAGTGAGAGACAAAGGGGGCCAAGATTGCCGAGTGGCACCGCCCGCCTTTCCAAACGCCACAAAAACGCTGTGCTGGCTGCTTTAGGGAGGCACGGAGTGAGTGCTGCACGTGTGGCTGGGCTGGTGACAGGCAGGGCTCTCCAGAGGGCAGCAAGGATGCACACACTCTGGCCAGGGATCTCCTTCCCTGAGAGGTTTCTGCTCCAAGCATCCCAAACTAGCCCCTAACCCAAATGATTGCCTGCATAGAAAAGCTCTGCCTGCACACCTGCTTTGGTGCTGTGGAAAGCCTCAGCTCTCCTTTGATCTCTTTTGTTTCTGGAAGGTTCTGGCTGGTGATGATGCAATGTGGAATTGAGGCCAGAAGCTTGAGGAGAGGTTCAGGACCAGAGGAAGGCTGATGATGAGGGCAGGGGGCCTTTCCGTGCTTGCAGTCACTTGCCTGACTGAGGTGTATAGATTAGAACAGATATTTATAGCAAAAATTCAGAAGTTCAACCCTGGCACTGCCAGGCCCCAGATCCCCAGCATGGTCCTCCCTGCAATTGTCCCCTAGCTCCACACACTTGGCACAAATGGGAAAATAATATTTTTTTAAGTGGGGCTGAGTTAAGAGGATTTATTTGAGATACAAGATAGCTCCCATTAACGTTTGCTTGTTTGGGTTTATTTAAGCCTTAATTGAGTGTATTTTATTTAACTGCGTTCCAGTATCTCTCTCAGCCTCTTAAGAAACAATCACATGCTCTTCCCTTCTTCTCTCTCAAGATCCTTTATGTTAGTGAGCTGAGTTTAATGGCTGATAAAGTCCATGGGTTTGCAGTAAAGCTGAGCTTTCTTTCAAGTCCCTGCACATGCAGCCCCAGGAAGGTGTGCCCAGGTCAACCCTGGGTTTTGTTACATCTCTGTGCCTAAGCTGCCTTAATCAGCAGCTGTGAGCATTGTGATCATGGGATTTTTGGTAGTGAACACCCTGGGGCTTGAGGCTCCTTCCCTCCTGGAGGCAGATTTGACAGAGCCACAGCCAGTTTGTAACTGGTCTCACTCCAGGAGGCGAGGAGGGGACAGTGGCACCACTGAGGGTGGGATTGACCGGTGGCTGTGAGGGAACCAAGCCCTAACCACCCCGACAGGTGGGGATGGCGCTTAGTGAAAACCAAACACAGCCTGGCCATTATTCAGGTACTTTTGTAACCTTGGTTCTGCCTCGGCTGGGGTGGGAGATGTCTGTTCCCCAGGCAGCTGCCACCTCCCAGCATAAGCTGGTCCACAGTTCAGCCCCTGACATTTCATCCTTCCCACATGAGGCTCCTTCTGACCTGGAGCCCAGCTCCGAGGGAGGAACGTGGGGGTTTGGATGCTGAACTACAGCACCTCTAGCAGCAGCTGGAGCCCATCCAGCAGGAGCACACTGAGCAGCAGGGGCTGGCAAGGTGTCCAAGGGACAGTGCTGACCTTCCATCCAGCTGCCCTGCTCACAGGAAGATTTTCTCTCTGAGGAATAAGTTTCTCTGGAGGCAAAAAAGAAACACAGTGAGTCAGAAAGGCAGCAGAGACTCATCTTTACACAAGCCTTGCTTTCTGCTGTGACTGTTCAGAGCCGAGCAAGCCGTGGTCACTGGCGTGCCCCTTCCTTGCAGGTGGTTTGTCCCTGGGAAGGGACACCCCAGCAGTGCTGTGCACCATGCTTCTGCTCCTCGCTCATACCCAGGAGCAGCTTTGAAGAATCTATCCCCAAATGCACACAAAAACTTATTTTATTGCAGCAGCTGAACAGAAAAGCAGCTCGGCTTTTGAGAGACACACTTTTCTTACAGTACACCAGGAATAATGTCGCTCCTTACTGGCAGCACCCCCGGAAAGAGAGAAAACGCATCAGGCTCTGATGAAACACCTCCCAAAATAACCAGCGCCTCTCCCCGCACGCTCCCCTTTGTGCTCGGCTGTCTTTGGGCGAGTACGGAGCACGAAAGGCACTTCCAGCCGAAGGGAATTCGGTGGAGGCTGCGTAGCTCTCGGTGCGGGGGCCCGAGGCGGCGGTGGCGGATCCGCGCTCCCGCTGGCCCGGCATTGTAGCTGCGGGCCAGCTGTGCAGACCGGGATGGAAACTCTCCCAGGGCTGGCTCGGGATGCCCGCTCCGGGAGCAGGATGCCCGCTCTGCCGGCTGGTGGAGCCCGCTGCAGAAACAGCCGGGCCCGCTCCACCGAGCAGCGGCCCGGGGCTCCCCGGGGCTACCGAACTGCGGGGGACCCCTCGCCCTGCCCGCAAAGCACGGACTGAACCCGCACTCCCCTGCTGCCCGCTGGGCGGGGACGGGCTGTACGGGACACCGGGGCTCCGCGCGGCGACACCGCGGTCCCGGGGCGCGCTGGGCCAGTGCCCACCCACGGAGCGGGGGCTTCGCTCCCCGGGGCCGCCGGCGAGCGGCTGCTCGCGGGGTCCGGGGAAAGAAGCTCTCCAGCGGGGGAAAAGGCTGCCGGAGCCGGCGTCCCGGGCAGGGACGGGCCGTTCCCCGGCGGGGTCCCGGCACTGCCCGGCGATTCCCCGCGGAGACGGAGTCGCAAGCGGGTCTGGCCGCGGGTGCCGAGCCGGGTCCACCCCCGCTCGGCCGCGGCGCGGAGGGGCCGCGCTCCGCCCCCGCCTCCGCCCCGCGCAACTTCCCCGCGCCGCGGCC